GCCCCCCCTGCGGCCGCTGCCCTCACCGGGGCGGGCGGGGAGCCCCCGGCCTCCCTCGGATCGCTCCCAGCCCACCTCACCCCACCCCCACAGCGCCTGCTCCCTTCCCAGCCACCTCCCCTCCTCCCCCACATCCGGTGCTGGCGAAATTAGGAGCCCGGGGCAGCTCCTCCAAGCCCCCCTGCTCCCCGACTCCCGGAGCGAGCATTGACGTTCGATTGCTTTTTTGGGGGGGGCCATAGCTTCCCTAGTTCAGCGGACCCCCACCGAGCGCCAGGAGCTGAATTTACCTACTCTCATTCCTCTCCAGGGTCTCACTACTTTGGAGGTTTTCTCAAATTCCACATACAGAAAGCCACCGACCTTATTCCGGTATCCTACACCCCTTCCTTATCCTAATTATACGCCCACCCCCAGCCCTCCGCATCGGAGTCAAGAGCCACGGGGACACTTCAGTTCTCCTTGTAGGATTGATGAAATCGTAATGAAGAACGCCCCCTAAGCTCCCATAAGCGGTGCGGAATCCTCTGGGGGAAGGCCCGTATTATTGACATCTCACAGGCCTTGGTTCTGGACGTTGAGAAGGAGGCTGTGGATCTAGTGGTAGCGATGCTTTTTAGGGTAAATGTATGTAGGTATTGGGGGAAAGGGAGGGATCAATTGAGAAGGAATGGAAGTAGCTTAAAGCTCATTTTAGTTTTTGTTGCTCATGTAGAGTCCAACCTATGAGTTACTCATGTACAGGCCAGAAAGCTTCTGCAGTCTGAAAGTGTCTTGAAACTAAACTTGGATTAATTGAAAGTAACTTGAAAGTTCATCTTGTGACCTTGATTTTTAATTTTACCCACAAAGCATATATATATATATATATTTTGCCACCCACATTTTAAAAAATTGTATTGCTGTTAATTAGAGCTGAGAGGGGTCAACTAGCATTTGTTGTTAATGACCAGTATGTGGAGTCTGATTTAGCATTTCAGAATTGACTTTTTGGGTTGTATTGACAAATCAGTCCTAAATGATCAATGTTGAATGATGCACTATGTTTTTGTTTAAATGAAATTCCTGAAAATAATTAATTTCAGGATTAATGGAAATTGATGTTGTTGTGAAGCTTTATAAAAACACATTTTTAAAGGTGAAGGCATTTCAAGCAGATATAGTTCTTGATGAAGCAGAAAGAACATGGGCCTGGGATTTGGAAAACCTGGCTTCTAGCTGCTACTGACCAACTTTATGACTCTGGGAAAGTGGGCCTCAGTTCTTTTTTCTATAACATGAGTGGATTGGACAATTTGAATTCAGAACTCAGAAAGTCAGAGGGATCTTAAAGCCCTCTGAGAAAGAGTTTGGGAATGTTCTCCATTGCTGTCACTTTTCCTCCAAAAATAACCTGGCTTGGAAGTCATTGGTCCAAAGGGAATTTGATTCCCCATAGAAATTGGAGAATAGGTAATGCAAGTAGAGAGGAACAGCTGTATTTCTTCTTGAGCAATAAACCCACTAACAGATTCTGGTACGAATCTTGGAGGCATAAAGAGAATGAATGTATGTACCCTCAGTGTACCAGTTTCCTCACTCACTCCTGGTGGAAGATGCAGCACTTTTAGTAGTGCTGGAATTCTGGGATGTGTTCCCATTAATTCTAATACAGATAAAGAAGATGTGGTAGAGAGAAAGATGGTGGCAGAAGGAATGGATAAAGAGGCAAAATTGCCTGCGAAAAAGAAAAGAAAGAAGGGCTTGCGAATTAAGGGGAAAAGGCGACGAAAGAAACTGATCCTTGTGAAAAAATTTAGTAAGGATTTGGGATCTGGGAGGCCTGTTGCAGATGCCCCTGCTTTGTTAGCTTCCAGTACTCCTGAGCAGGATGAAGAAGGTCTTTTTGAGAGCAATATAGAAAAACAGATCTACCTACCTAGTACTAGAGCCAAGACCTCCATTGTATGGCACTTCTTTCATGTTGACCCCCAGTACACCTGGCGGGCTATTTGTAACCTCTGTGAAAAAAGTGTTAGTCGGGGTAAACCAGGCAGCCATCTTGGGACATCTACTCTTCAAAGACATCTGCAGGCAAGGCATTCACCTCACTGGACGAGGGCCAACAAGTTTGGAGTCACTAGTGGGGAGGAGGACTTTACTTTGGATGTACCTTTATCTCCCTCTTCTGCTGGAAGCAGTGGAAGCTTTGAATATATTCCTACTGATCCATTAAACGATAATAGAATGGGTAAGAAACGGGATAAATCAGTATCTGATGCCCTGAGGGCAGAAAGGGGGAGATTTCTCATCAAAAGTAACATTGTCAAGCATGCCTTAATTCCTGGAACGAGAGCCAAGACATCTGCAGTTTGGAATTTTTTTTATACTGATCCTCAGCACATCTCCAGAGCTGTGTGTAATATATGTAAAAGAAGTGTGAGCCGTGGTAGGCCAGGTTCTCACTTAGGAACTTCAACACTTCAACGACACCTGCAGGCCACACATCCCATCCATTGGGCTGTTGCCAACAAAGACAGCGGTGCGGTTGGAAATGGATTAGATGAGGCTGAGACTGAGAGAAATCTCTTGAGTGATACTTCAAATGGAGAGAAGTCTACAGGCAGCCAAGATTTAACAGCTGAGGACCTTAGTGACTCTGATTCAGATGAACCTCCTGTGTTAGAGATTGAAAATAGGATATCTGAGAGTCCCATTCCTGTTGTAGAACAAGATACTCTGATGCTTGCGCAGGAGAGAGAAACAACATATTGTGAAAATTCAGTCTCCAGTCAAATAAGTCAGGCGATTATTCAGATGATTGTGGAAGATATGCATCCTTACAGCTACTTCTCAACCCCAGCCTTTCAGAGGTTCATGCAGATTGTGGCCCCTGATTATAGGTTACCATCTGAGACTTACTTCTTCACTAAGGCTGTACCTCAGTTATATGATTGGGTCAGAGAAAAAATTTTCTTAACTTTGGAGAATGTTCAAAGCCAAAAGATCCACCTGACTGTGGACATATGGACCCATGACCCATCCACTGACTATTTTATTGTGACTGTACACTGGGTCTCCTTGGACACTGCACCTTCTTCCAATAATGGCTGGATCCCCGATTTTAGAAAATGGGCAGTGCTGTGTGTAACAGGTTTGGCCAAAGACTGTTTGGTAACCAACATTTTACAAGAATTAAATGACCAGATTGGTCTGTGGCTTTCTCCTAATTTCCTCATTCCTAGCTTCATTGTTTCTGACAATTCCTCTAATGTGGTACATGCAATCAAAGATGGCGGTTTTACCCACGTGCCATGCTTCCTGCATTGTTTAAATATAGTCATTCAGGATTTTTTCTGTGAGCACAAAAGCATTGAGAACATGTTAGTGGCTGCTAGGAAAACCTGTCATCATTTTAGTCATTCAGTCAAGGCTCGTCAGATACTGCAAGAGTTCCAAAATGATCGCCAGCTTCCGTGGAAGAATTTGAAGCAGGATGAAACTGGCCATTGGATTTCTACCTTTTATATGTTAAAATGGCTCTTGGAGCATTGCTATTCAGTTCACCATAGTCTTGGTAGAGCCAGTGGAGTTGTACTCACCTCCCTTCAGTGGACCCTAATGACTTATGTTTGTGATATTCTTAAACCGTTTGAGGAGGCCACCCAGAGAGTTAGTGTGAAGACCACAGGATTGAATCAGGTGCTACCCACAGTCCATCATCTACTCCTTTCCCTGCAGAAACTCAGAGAAGATTTTCAAGTCAGAGGTATTACACAGGCCCTCAATCTGGTGGACAGTTTATCTCTGAAACTTGAAACGGACACCCTAATAAGTGCCATGCTCAAATCTAAGCCCTGTATCTTGGCTGCTTTGTTAGATCCTTGCTTTAAAAATAGTTTGGAAGACGTTTTCCCTCAAGGTGCTGATTTAGAAATGTATAAGCAGATCCTTGCAGAAGAAGTTTGTAATTATATGGAATCTTCACCAGAGGTCTGCCATATTGCAACTTCAGAAGCTTCTGGTCCCTCAGCTATAGTACAAATGGACTCATTTACTTCATCTACAAGAGAAGGCACCTCCAGTTCAGGGTCTGTTGATAGTTCAGCTGCAGATAATGTTGGCATGGGAGGCAAAAGCTTCATGTTTCCGTCTGCTGTAGCAGTAGTGGATGAATACTTCAAAGAAAAGTATTCAGAAATCTCAGGAGGTGATGACCCTTTGATTTACTGGCAGAGGAAGGTGAGCATATGGCCAGCTTTGACCCAAGTTGCCATTCAGTATCTAAGCTGCCCTATGTGTAGTTGGCAATCTGAATGTATCTTTACTGCAAATAGCCACTTTCATCCAAAGCAGACCATGAACCTGGACTTTGACAATATAGAACAGCTGATGTTTCTGAAAATGAACTTGAGAAATGTTAAATATGATTATTCTACATTGGTTCTGAGCTGGGATCCTGATAATGAAGTTGTTCAAAGCAATGAAAAAGAAATATTATCTTAATTTTCCTTTCTCCATTTAAAATGGGCAACTTCTTGCTTTGTACTGTATTCTAATTGCTATAGTTGTTACATATTGTTAACTAATTATTCTTTATACATGAATCTGGGGAAACCTGAAAACACAAAAAGGACAGAAAATTCCTCAGAGGTAATGTTGGCAAAGTGAAGATTAACTTTAATGATTTCACAGTACTAACTCAATGTGGCTGTCACATGAAATTTTGTTTACACAAGTTGAGAGAAAGATATTTTTTATTTAAAAAATATAGTGCAGCATTGAAAGGCCTTGTGCTCTTTCTTACTGGTAAACTGAACTAGTAATTGGTTTTAAGTAAAAATCTCTCCCAACATGAAAAGTTTGATTACTCTAAAACATACTAAGCTGGTATTTCTCCCCCTCACCCCCACTTATCTATTTCTTTTAAAACTCCGAGTCGTACTTAAAGCTTGGCAAACACAAAACTTACAAAATTGTTTTATATTTGGAAACTTCTAATTGCCTCCTCATACTGGTCAGCTTAGTTTACCCTTTATAGGATTGGATCTATATATAAGGGAAACATTACAATTAGGAAAAATTACTTTTGATCTTTGAATTACCTTTTTTAACCTTTTTAAAATAGTGTAAAAACAAAAATTGCATAGGTGCTTTTGCCTAATTATGGGTAAATGACATAGTAAAAGTTTTACAAAATTTCAAAAGATTGAATGGGAATTAAAGTCTTAGTCCCATACATGAGCATACTTTGACAATCCTAGTATCCATTTTCCAAAGAATGTTTTTCCAATATTAAGTGATCTTAAATACTTTTTTAATATATACTGAATTCTTCATAACTACGTATTCTTAACTACGAAATTGTTTTGGCCTCAATTCTAAACTAAAAATAAGCAATCAATATTTTCATGTGTTAGGAATCATTTCCTCACTGGTAAAATGAGGATGGATCTCAGTGATTTTTAAGGTTCCTTTCCGCTCTGTTTCTATGATTGATTGGGAGGCCAGAAAATGATGACTTTTAATAAAAGTCTATTAAAATTTTCAGACTGAATAACTAATGTAAGATCCCAATTTTTCCTTTTTTTCATTTTAGATTTGGGGATATTCCCTGCCCAAAAATTTCCTGGAAAATTGACTAGTATTAAGTGTGAGTAAAAGGTGTCCACTTTTTTTTTTTTAAGTTTTTATTTTAGTTTTGTCTTGGATAGTATTTGGCAAGATTTAGCCTAGAAATAATGTAGTATCTATTACATGAGAATCAAAATTGCTTTGTTACTGGGCTGGTTTCAAAATTTAAAATTCATTTCTATGTATCAAATCGTTTTTTTGGTGGGTTTTTTTTTTTTGGCCTTTTTTCTTTTAATTCTGAAATGGTAAATGTACCATTGTGGAATGAAATTTCAACTTCAAAAGTTTACCCTTTTATTAACTAGAGTAAATGGATAATTGCAACGTCTTTAGTTGTAGCCATCAGTAGTAAAGAATTTGAAATTAGGCTGCATAAGCAAGCCTTTGCAGGGCCAATATTGAATTTCATGCCAGTTGACACTGGTTGCTATAAAAGAAAAACAATCTTCCCTTAATAGAAGCTTTTTGTATTTTGACAGTGCCAGCTCAGTATGGCTATAATGCTGCTCTGCCTTCTACAGCTTGCTGCACCACTCTGTAGTTACTCTATAACTATACATTTCTATCTTTTTTGGTTAAACACTCCCTGAAGATGAAAAAGATAATGATATACATGCATCCATATTGTACACATTGATATATGTGTAAAGATTCCCTTCATCTTTATTTTGCTGGCTTGGCAAAATTTTGTGTAACATACTTCATGATACTTTGGTATAAGAGTAAGTTCACTACTTTTATAATGAACCCAAATCTAAAGGCTTTTGTAGTGTATTTTAAAAGGGAAAACTTACCCAAATGTTTTATTTCTACACATTTGTGTGTATGTGTGTGTGTGTATGTGTGTATAAGCCAGTTAGTATATATGTATATTATGTACATAAAACACTTTATATTTTTACATACAAGTGTGCTTTTATTATACAGATAATAAAGATGGGGGAAGGTTTCTGTTTTTTTCTTAATAGGTGAAGAAATCTTGAAGACCAGAAATTGGATCTTATTGAATTTTGGTGTTCTTTTTATTTTTTCTCTTTCTTTTTTTCTTTTTAAATTATATTGTTCGACTATGGAAGATGGATTTTTTTAAAAAAATAATCCTTTGAATTTCAAGTTCATCTTTAAATGAACTTTTTTGTTTGTTTTTTGTTTTTGTTTTTATTTTGAGGAGATAACTAGCGATAGCTGTCTCCAGTCTGACAAAGGTTGTTCGAATGGACTTAATCTCCCAATAGTTGGGAAATGTTTTAAAAACACATCCTGTGTTTGAATTGTGGCTGAGAGGTTTCCTTGGCAATGTGAGGAGGAAATTTTTTTCTGCCTCATTATTATTAATTCATGGATTGAGTGTTGGTTCGACCTACAGGCGTGATAGATTGGAACTCAGTGAAGACACAGATGTTCCTGTTGAGAGCAACCAGCTAATGTAAGTGTGGAAATTGGTTTTTTCTCATTAAAGGGATAAACATTTTTGTAATTTAAGGCATAATTTTCCTGGATTAGTCAGAAATTAACCATCATCAAAACTTTTTTTCTTGTAATTGTTTACAAGCTTTTGGTTAGGGAATAAAGGCACCCCCTTTCCTTTTTTTGATAATATGTGCACATTTAAAAAAAGGTAAAAACATTATAGCCTAGCCAAGGTGAAAACTCCCTGTAATTCCATTTGTATAGGTAAATACTATTAAAATTTGGTTTTAACAGTGTGATTTCATTAGATGATTTGGAGGAGGAACTTGGAAGATTTTACCTGAAATACTTTAATTCATTGTTTCCTCATTTTAGCATTACATTTTAAAGGCGATTTCTGTGATTGAGTTGTCTTTTGGAAGATTAAATCCATTTCAAGAGGACTTGAAGCTGGTCCTCACCTTGAGGAAGCAGTGGCTTGTTTTCAAGAATCCCTTCCTGATTTCAGGATCCACCCAGCATGCCTAATCAAGGAGAAGACTGCTATTTTTTTTTCTATTCTACATGTACCAAAGTAAGAATTGAAATCTCTAAAATCAGTTCTTTCTATGATTCCCCTAAAATTGAAGACGTATTTTCAGTACACTAAGTTGTTTTCATGTTTTGTTTTTCTGCACTTTAAATGTTTATTAACCTGCTGTCAGTTTTTTTAGTAAAGGATAGCATTCCTAGGTGAATTCGTTCTTTATGTTTTCCTCTTCGTTTTATGTTCTTCATGTTCTACAAAAGTGTAAAGTTTTCTTACCTATAATTAATTTGTTCAGGGTGCCTTTGGAATTAGGAGCACTTTGGCCTGTGGCTTACCAACTTTGATTTTGTTACCTGTGGGTTGTATTGTACTTCTAGAAACTGCTGAGTTGAATTGACCTTCAGATTTTCTGCTGAATACCGAAGCCATCTACTAAATATGCTTTTGTAGCTTTTCTGTTTTTTATCAAAACTTACGTGTTTTCTGTTTGGTTGTACTGCAGCTCCATTTAGATCATTCTGCTATTTTCTGTTGTTCCTTTATGACTTAATTCTATAAATGTACATGTTATTACAAAAACTTTTCTTTAGTCATCTTGATCCTGTGTTTAAAATTAACAGTTTTGAGCAAAGCCCTGATCTCATATAACACTTTGCACAATAGTAGTATTTGGATAATATCATGTATAAAATATGGAGTGAAGCATAGAATTATACTTAAATCCTTATCTATTAACTTCCTTTCTGGCCTTTTTTCAAAAACTAATCACATTAGTTGGGATGTATGAAACAGTTGAAGATGAACAGTATAATGTATTTTTAAAGAGTATCTAATACTCCCACTGGTCTTTTTTAATTTATGTCATCTCTCAGCTTGTCTCGTTCCTGTTGTCACATAAGATGAAGCGTAGTGTCAGGAAATAGGTTGTAGAAAATTATGAATTTGTTGATCTCTGATTGTTTTTGTTGTCCCGTCTCAGGTGTCTTCTTTCTTGTCTGTCTATCCTTACTGCTTTCTATTTGTCTAGATGCCAGGAAACTATTATAATGAACATTTCACTTGAGATCTTTTTGAGCTTCACATTCTTTTCTGTGTTACTCTCTCTGTTGACAGGGTGACAGCTGTCCGTTCCGTCACTGCGAAGCTGCACTAGGAAATGAAACTGTTTGCACATTATGGCAAGAAGGACGCTGTTTTCGACAGGTGTGCAGGTTTCGGCACATGGAGATTGATGTAAGTTTTGAATTTGTATTATAAAAAATATAAGGGGGAGATGACGTTTTAGATGATATGTGAGTTAAATTTTTAAAAATGATCCAGTGAAATTTGTCATTATTATAGTGCTCACTTAATATCTACATGTTTTGGAGTTTGAATTGGTATAATTTTTCTGAAAGGCAGTTAGGTAAAATATCTAATGTATGAAAGTTATGTATGTACTATATTGGGAGTATTTACATCTCTGTTTATTTTCAAACTATCTCAAACTTAAGAGAAATATTACAAGTACAATATAAAACTTTTTTTCTAAGACATTTAGGAATAAATTACTGACATTCCCTATCACTTCCAAATGTTTTCATGAGTATTTCCTACAAATAAGAAGGACATTCTCCTATATAACCGTTATACAACCTTTAAAATTAGAAAATTAACATTGATATATTACCTTCACTTAATTCTCAGATCTGACTCAAGTTTTGCCATGTGCCAATAATGTTTTTTATTTCAGAAGGAGCATGTCCAGAATCAAGTATTGCATGTAGTTGTCATGACTTCAGTCACTTTCAGTCTAGAATAGTTGCTCAATCTTTGCTTGCCTTTCATTGGCATTGACACTTTTAGTTACAGGTCAGTTATTTTGTAGACTGTCCCTCAATTAGGGTTAGTCTGATAATTCCTCATGATAAATTCAGGGTTTGTACCTTTGGCAAGAACATCAGAGTTGATACTCTTCTCATTGTATACCATTATTAGGTGACATACAGTGTGTTTTTTTAATCCTCACCTAAGGACATCGAACCCACAGCCTTTTGTTGTATGGTACATGCTCCAACCAACTGAGCCACCTGGCTCCAGGGCAGGTGGCATACAATTTTAATTATCCCATTACCAGTGATGTTAGTGATCATTTCATTAAGGTAGATCTACCAGACTGTTTTACTAAAAAAGTTTTTCTTTTTGTAATAAGCATTTTATGGAGATGTAATATGAGAACCTGTAATAATCCCATTTCTTATCAAACTTTCCATTTTTTTCAGTGATTTATTTGTGCAAATTCATGGTTTCCTATTTTATTCAATGTGTTATACTTCGTTGTTATTACATTTTATCCTCAAATAGACCTAGATTTGGCCAGTAAGAGCCCTTCAAGCTGGTTTTTGTGTCTTTTGGATGTTTCTATCATTCTTCAAATACCTCTTTGCTTTCTGGCTTAATAAGACTTTCTAGGCTCATCCTGTACTTTTCCTCCTCTAGTTTTGGAATCAACCATATCTCCAAGGAGCTTTGGTTCCTTTTAGTGAAAAGTAGTATATGGAAATGAGCTTTGAGCTGCTCCTGGAGTGTTACTGCTTCTAGGCCTACAGTGGACAGGAGGAGGAAATACATAAATGTATATACATACACATGTTTACATCATTAGTTATTACTTCCTGCTTTTGTATGGAAAATCATGAGTTCACATAGATACCTCCAATTCACAAATAGGCTTCTACTTTTGCCTACTTGTAGCTCTCTTTTCTGAAAGTGAGAAACTTTGCTTTCATTCTCCTTAATATTACTTATTTGATCAGTCCCCTGGTTATGTAATCCAATATTGTATTCCAGTCTCTTCCTACCTCTTAGGTGTTAAGTCCATCTGATCCACTGTGTCCTTTAGAGTCTCTGTTTCCTTGTTAAGTTTTTGTCTGGAAGATCTATCCAGTGAAGTCAGAGGGGTGTTAAAGTCCCCGAATATGACTGTATTGTTGTCAATCTCTCCATTAAAGTCCTCTAGAAGTTTTTTTTTTTAAATATATTTTATTGATTTTTACAGAGAGGAAGGGAGAGGGATAGAGAGTTAGAAACATCGATGAGAGAGAAACATCGACCAGCTGCCTCCTGCACACCCCCTACTGGGGATGTGCCCTCAACCAAGGTATATGCCTTTGACTGGAATCGAACCCAGGACCCTTCAGTCCGCAGACTGATGCTCTACCCACTGAGCCAAACCAATCAGGGCTAGAAGTTTTTTTATATATTTAGGTGCTCTTAATATTGGGTACATATATGTTTACCAGGGTTATATGCTCTTGTTGGATCGATCCATTTAGTATTATGCAGTGACCTTTGTTGTCTCTTATGATGGCCTTCATTTTAAAGTCTGTTTTGTTGTATATGAGTATTCCTATTCCAGCTTTTTTTCTTTTGCATTTGCATGGACAATATTTTTCCACCCCTTCACTCTCATCCTGTGTGTGTCTTTTGTTTTGAGGTGGGTCTCTTGTAGACAGCATATAGTTGGGTCACGTTTCTGTATCCATTTAACTATCTTATGCATTTTGATTGGAGCATTTAGTCCATTTACACAGGGTTATTATTGATAGGTACTTATTTATTGTCATTTTAATTCTGTATGGCTAGGTTTCTCTCTCTGTTTCTTCTCATTACAGCAATCCCTTTAGCATTTCTTGTAATGCTGGCTTGGTGGTGATGTACTCCTTTCGCCATTTTTTGTCTGGGAAGCTCTTTATTTGACCATCTATTTTAAATGTTAGCCTTGCTGGATATAGTAATCTTGGTCTCAGATCCTTGCTTTCCATTACCTTGAGTACTTCATGCCATTCCCTTCTGGCCTGTAGTGTTTCTGATGGGAAATCAGATGTCAGCCCTATGGGAACTCCTTTGTAGGTAACAGTTTTCTTTTCTCTTGCTGCCTTTAAGATTCTCTCTTTGTCTTTAATTTTTGGCATTTAATTATGATGTGTATGGACATGGGTCTGTTTGGGTTCTTCTTGTTTGGGGTTCTCTGTGCCTCCTAACTTTTGTGACTTTTTTTCCCTTTACCAAGTTAGGGAAGTTTTCTGTCATTTCTTCAAACACCTTCTCTGTCCCTTTCTGCCTCTTCTGGCACACCTACTATTCTAATATTGTTACATTTCACATTGTCCCACAACTCCCTTAAGCTGTCCTCCTGTTTTTTAATTGTTTTTTCTTTTTGGTTCTCTGATTGAGTGATATTTTCAACTCTGTCTTTTAATTTACTGATTTGATCCTCAGTTTCCCCTAATCTGCTATGTATTCCTTCCAATGTGTTCTTTATTTGTGTTATGTCATTCTTTATTTCAGACTGTTCTTTTTTCATAGTTACTATATCTTTTTTCATGCTGTTGTGCTTTTTTTAACAGTCATTACTCTGAACTCTGTTTCAGATAAATTTCTTATCTCTGTTTATCTCTTCTTCTGGAGAATTCTCTAGTTTTTTTCATTTGGGGGTTGTTTCTTTGTTTCCTCATTTTGGCTGTCTGTCTGGGTTTGTGCCTCTGTATTAGGTAGATCCTCTATACCTCTCAATCTCTAGTGCAGGACAGTGTTAAAGTCTGTTTCTGACTAATTAGATCAGGTAAAGACTCAAAGCCTCCAGAGACTGCCTCTGCCTACAGACTGATAGGATTCGGACTTGAATTGCCCCCCACCCCACAAGCAGTCGTCCTCAGGTGTGGTGAGTTTTTTTTTTTCAACAGGGTGGGGCAGTTGCTTCTGCCTGGAGGCTAATTGTTATTTTTAATCTCTCAAGTGGCTTCAGGGCAAGGTGTTTTCCAATAGGGTGTGTCAACTGTCTTCACCCCACGCAAGGCAAATGTCTGTGTGGAAAAGATGTCCTCCACTGTGTGGGGGAATGACTCAGCACAGGAAACTGGGGGTGTCTGCCTTCTGAGCTTTAACCCCTGTGTCCCCAATCCTGGCTTCTCACAAGCTCAGGTCTACTCTGCCCTCCCTCTGCTGGAGCACAAGGTGGTGGCTCCACATGGATTTTTGTGCGTTGGACCTTTAAGAGGATGCCTGCGTTTTCATCTGTTACTCCCTAGCAGACAGCACCCCCGCTGCTGTTCATAGCCAGATGGTATGTGGGTTCCTCTTTATTTTCAGCATATAGTTGGGTCACGTTTTTGTATCCATTTAACTATCTTATGCATTTTGATTGGAGCATTTAGTCCATTTACACTTATTTTTGGTGCTTTCTGCTGGGGGACCCAGCTTGGGGATTAGATGCCAGAGTTCTCAGTGGACTCCCCCACAGCTGAGATATTTCTCCAGGACTTCAGTTGCCGTCTGTGGGTGCCCAGCCAGCCCTTTCCTACCAGTCTCTGTGCGGTCTCCACTTTCAGTCCTTGGGTGTCAGGGTTCTCTCCTGTGAGTTTTTCGTTGATTGTTCAGGAAGTTTTTCTGTATTTCAGTTGTAATTCCAGTTTGTTCCTGGGAGCATGTCCATGCAGCATCCACTTACTCTGCCACCATTTTTAATCATCTTCAGGTGTTGACATCACACCTGAGGCTGCTTCTCCACAGGGACACCTTTCTCACCTTATGTCAATGCCAACACCTGTACCAGGTCTCCCCCCTGCTTCACTGTGAGGACTCCTTCCTCAGCCTTTTTGGACCTCAGCATTCTATTCCACGTCCTTGGGCTCTGATACTATGTTGGACAGCCCTCCCATGTGAGGTGCTCACTCTCACCCTGTTGGTTCTCCAACTCTGCACCTGGTCCCCACTCAGGAAGACCCTGCCTTTCTCCTGCTGGTTGGTCTTGGAGGCTCATTCTGGGAAGACCCTCCATAAGTACACCCTCCTTAACTTACTACACTAGGATCCCTTCTGCACAGAAGTCTTGCTCGCCTTCCCATGCTGCTCAGGCTCCGACACTGTGCCAGGCTATCCTCTTATGCAAATGTCATACCAACTCCTGTGGGTTCTGACACCTGTGCCAGTCCCACCTTGTCCAGTAGACTCCTCACCTCAGTCCGGCTCTAACTTCCTGCTCTGGGCCACATACCCTTCCCTTTTCCAGCATGAATCCTGCCTCTCTCAGCCTTACCTAATGACTTTGATCTGAATTGTTTGAGGAGTGTTGTAGAAAGGAAGAGACTAAATATGCAGTTTGGATGTCTGGGCTTATATAGCTGCTCTAGTTTGGTCCCAGGTTTATAGTCTCTTAACTGTCTTCTATGCTGCCTGTCTTCCAAATAGCAGGGAATTCACTAACATTCAGAGAAAGGAATACTCTGTAACTTTTGAAAAGTCATATTGTAACACTGCTGGCATAGTTTGTAAATGGGCACAACTCCTAGGAAAGATCTCTAAGTGTCAGGGTCTCTAAGAAGAACTACATTTAGAGATTCTCTAGAGCAGTGGTTCTCAACCTTGGGTGCACATTAGAATCACCTGGGAATCTTTTTAAAATCCTGATTTCTGGGCCTCATCCTCCGGAAATTCTGTTTCTTTGTGACTAATGTTGTGGCCCCACCCCATAACAAAGAAACAGAATTTCCGGAAGATGAGGCCCAGAAATCAGGATTTTAAAAAGATTCCCGGTGATTCTAATGTGCAGCCAAGGTTGAGAACCACTGCTCTAGAAGAACTCATGGAACTCAGCATACAGTTGTATTCTTGGCTAGTATTATAGTGACACAATAAGGATATGCTGGTTGTAAGAGAAAAGGACACAGGCAGAGTCTGGAGCAAGCATGTCAAACATGCAGCCCGCCGGCCACGAGTTTGACATGCTTGGTCTGGAGGAATCCATGTGTGGGCTTCTCTGTGATCTCCCTCCCATCAGAGGTCACACAGAGCGAACGCTTCCTCTGGCCATAGAAATGCACCAGTATATATGTGATGTTTCTGCCTAGGGAAGCCCATGAGAGACCCAAAGTTTATTGGGGCAGGTTGCTTAGGCACCCTCTACCACATACCAAACTCCAGACTCCCGAAAGGATGGGAGGTGTTCAGCATAAGCTGTATTTGCACAAACAGCCTAGGGCACATTCTGAGTGCCGAGTTTCCAATGCCAACCAAGGGCCACCCTTGCAAGGCTGTCTAAGGGTAGCAGCTGTAGGGCTGCTCTGTTAACTCTTCTGCACAGAGGCTTATTTGGCTGCATCTTACAAAACTACTATTATACCTATGGCTCCCATGTGCAAAGTGAGATGCAGATTACTTTTTGTAGCATAATTTGTATTAGTAAAACATATGAAGCAACCTAACCTTCATTTAAAATAAAATTTTACTCTATTCATGCAGTGGTGTGCTGGGTAGCTGTAAACAAAAAATTTTAAAAGGGAAACTATTTACATTGACATGGAAAGATCAGAATATATTATTAGTGAAAAGGGATCAGAATAAGGTGTGTAATATGCTACCATTTGTAAAAAAAGAGAGAGGGAAAATAATTTGTATTTATTTTTACTTGTATATGCATTTTACAAATAGAAGTATAAAAGAGAAACTTTACAGTGGCTGTTGGGGTGGGAACAGGATTGAGAAAGGGCCATTTTACTGTAACCCCTTCTGTATGCAGTCAATTTTTATTATTCCTGGGTTTCATATTTGAAAATTTGTCTACTCGATAAAATGTATTGTAACCTCTGAAGTAATACTTGCTTTGAATGGCAGTCAGACATGTGCGGGTCACTAAAAATGTGAGTCTCTTGAGGCACCTCATTTCCAGCTGAGATCAAACAAAGCAATGCTCTGCTTTTCTTGTTTCAGCTCTCATAGTGTAAACAAGTGTCCTTTTTGGGGCCTATTTTAGTGCCCCTCCCCCTTTTGTTGGTGATTTTCCCATTTAAAATGGCCCCAAGAATAGTGCTGCAGTATTATGTAATGTTCCTAAGCACAGGAAAGAAAGTATGTGTAATAGATAGAGCCTCATTCCACTGTGACTTATAGCGTGTTGGCCTAGAGTTCAATATTAGTGAATCAATATGTTTTTTAAAAATATTTTTTTAATATTTCAGAGAGGAAGGGAGAGAGAGAAACATCAATAGTGAGAATCATTGATCGGCTGCCTCTTGCATGCCCCACACTGGGGATCAGCCCGAACCAAGGCATGTACCCTGTCTGGGAATCGAACCATGACCTGATTCATAGGTCGACACTCAACCACTGAGCCACGTCCGCTGGGCAACAATACATATTAAGTAAGGTGACTTTAAACACAAACACATAAAACAACATTATATATTGATCAATTGATACAAATATTGTGACCAGAAGCTTATAGGAACCTTACTTTGGTCTATGTGCTTTATTACCTATAAAAAATTTAAAGAAATAATCATGTTTGAGAATGTTACTGTGGAGAATTTGTTGCTAAATGAAAAATGTACAGGATTATATGAAATAACCTTTTTAAAAGTGTACATCTACACATTTACTTTTTTTTTTTTAAGTAAAAGAATTCTATACCAAAATAAGTGATTCTCTTTAGGTAATAGTATAACAGGCATTTATTTCTATTTTCCAAGTTGTCTTTAATTTTCATTTAGAAACAAAATCCAGTAAGTGTATTAAACAGATCAAATAAATGTCACGTGATTCGTGTATACGGAGGCTGCTAGTATAGAAGGCATCTAGTAATTTGAAAATTGCTTCCGGGAAAGGAGTAAAACCTTAAGCAAAGACAGACTTAGGAGCAAGGAAGATTGATTGATAGTAGGTTCTGCCTTGAGGAAGGGGTTGAGTAATTATTCTTATTCTTATCTAAAACACAATGGTAGCTAATACACCTACTTTTGGATGTAACCGGAACTAAGATATTTTATCCAGAGGTAAAGGTATTTGCCGTACTTTTAGAAAATAGGAAAGTTGTACATGTGGCAGTAAATTCAAGACATAAATTTTTAAAACAGATTTGCCAATTGCCTTTTAAAGCGATTGAGCTACTTTATATTTTCATTATAAGTATATGGGATTGCATGATTCTTTCACATCCGTAACCACACTGTATTATCAGTCTCAGTAGTAGACTTTGATCTTTGCTCTTTTTTATACATGTAAGGATCTTTTTGTAATGGCCATTATTTCTATGTTTCCTTCCTCCATATTTTAAAATTTCTGAAATAATGCTACTATTCTTTCCGGGAATTTTAAACCTTAGGCTCTTAAAATGATGAGACATCCAAAATAATGCAGGTTATTAATCAGAGGTTAGTTACTTTTCAGAATGCTTACCAGTTCCTTTTTCTTCATTGAACTATTTAAAGTGTATATAGAATTTTCACAAAGTGAATAGTATACTTACTTGACCAGCACCTAGTCCTAAATCAAGAAATAGAATATTTCCAACACTCTATCTTCCCCTTCATTGTCACTAACAAAATCCCCCAAAAACAGATGAACAAATTAATACAGGTCACACTTCATTTTTATTTGGAAACTATGTTTTTCCCTCTTGCAGAAAAAACGGAGTGAGATTCCTTGTTACTGGGAAAATCAACCAGTGGGATGTCAAAAACTAAACTGCGCTTTTCATCACAACAGAGGACGTTACGTGGATGGCCTTTTTCTACCTCCAAGCAAAAGTGAGATGTTTTTAATTTTAAAAGAATAATTACTATATAATGAACACCTACTATGCACACTGTATAAAGTACTTTATATACTTGCCTTCTTTTCCTGGTGTGAGAGAGAGGTATTATTTCCACTTTACAATTGAAGGAACCCAACTTTATTAAGGTTAGGTGATTTGTACAGTTACTAACCAGTAAGTAGCAGAGTCACAATCCTGTTGCCAAAAGCCATGTGCCTCATAAGTGCTTCTTGGCGTTACAGTTTAGATTGCTAAAGCTTACTTCATTCCCATTTTCTTATCAGACCCATAGAGGCTTTTGACTTTTTTTCTCTCTCTAGTCCTCACCCAAGGTCATGCTTAGAGAAAAAGGAGGAAGGGGGGTGGAGAGAAAAAGAGAAACATGGATGTGAGAGAGAAACAGATTGGTTGCCTTACGCACGTGTCCCGACCAGGGATCGAATCTGAAACCCAGGTGTGTGCCCTGACTGGGAATTGGACCAACAATGCCTCGTTGAATGGGACATACTCCAACCAGCTGACCTATTACGGCTGGGCAGTGGTTTTTGAAAGAAACTAGATTATCTCAGAGTGTTTGGCAGATCTCTTCCTCCACCTGTTTTATAAAATTAGGTTACGCACGTGTCCCGACCAGGGATCGAATCTGAAACCCAGGTGTGTGCCCTGACTGGGAATTGGACCAACAATGCCTCGTTGAATGGGACATACTCCAACCAGCTGACCTATTACGGCTGGGCAGTGGTTTTTGAAAGAAACTAGATTATCTCAGAGTGTTTGGCAGATCTCTTCCTCCACCTGTTTTATAAAATTAGGTTTATTAGCCGAAACCGGTTTGGCTCAGTGGATAGAGCGTCGGCTTGACTGAAAGGAGGTCCCAGGTTCGATTCCGGTCAGGGGCATGTACCTTGGTTGCGGGCACATCCCCAGTTGGGGGTATGCAGGAGGCAGCTGATCGATGTTTCACTCTCATCGATGTTTCTAACTCTCTATCTCTCTCCCTTCCTCTCTGTAAAAAATCAA